CATTGAATGGTTTTCAGATTGTTTTTTTTAATAAATGAAAAAATATTAATCCATGTCAAAAAGTGGCAACATCGTCGGTAGTTTTTTTTTCACCAGGAGCTGGTACCACTGGCCCGAGGGAGCTCCAATCACAACGCTTCATCGCTCTCTCTCAAGAGACATTTAAATTGACCGCGCTACCCCCACCCGATCGGTACTTGAGACGTTGCTGCTCGTTTGGGCTGCGTGCGCAGAAATTTCATTTTTCAGTACTTTTTTCGCTATTATTAATAAACAATGCTCCTAGGCGACAATCTTTTTCACTCAAAAAATCATTGATCAAATGTTCTAAATGTGTCTAAAGTTTCATGACTTTGGCTGCATTTTTTCCTTGGGTTTTGCAGTTTTTTTGTGATTTCCATAAGATCACGGGTTAAATGACCACTTTTTGAAAAATTCATAATAAATTAACCATGTTCCCCAGCAGTCTGAAATTTTGCACACGCTTTTTCCATCATTTAAAGAATACGTAAAAAATAAAAGAGAAAAATGGCTGCTTTTTTTCTAACCCTCCGGGCTCGCCCGATTATCCTTAAATAAAAGGAAATAGTACGATTGTGAGATTGGGATACTCGTTATTGAGATATTGAAGAAATGAAGTTCACATACAAAGTTCAATATCTTCGAACCAAATAATCCGCTTAAGTCCATCTTCAATACGAACTGTTGCAATATTAAGCGGGAGCTTCATGCCAAACTTCACGTCGATATCTCGATTTTTACTCAAGTTAGAGCGCGAACAAGGATTTCAAGTCAAAAACATAAAAATCTAAATATCTCAAAAACTTTGTATGTACGGGTATATATATTTTGATTGACTGAGATAGAGGACATCAAGCCGAATATTTTGAAAAAAAATCATTGAGATCGGTTGACTGGTTGTTCGGATATTCAAGACATTAAGTTTACATACAAAGTTGAATATCTCCGAAACTAATTGACCGATTGAGCCCATCTTCCATACCGGTCCTTGCAATGATCAGAGACAGCTGCATGCCAAATTTCAAGTCAATATCTGCATTGTTACTCAAGTTAGAGCACGAACAAGGATTTCAAGTCAAAAACAGGAAAATCTACATCTCGCAAAAACTTTGTATGAACGGGTATATATATTTTGATTGATTGAGATAGAGGACATCAAGCCGAATATTTTGAAAAAAAATCATTGAGATCGGTTGACTCGTTATTGAGATATTCAAGACATTAGGTTTACATACAAAGTTGAATATCTCCGAAACTAATAGACCGATTGAGCCCATCTTCCATACCGATCCTTGCAATGATAAGAGACAGCTTCGTGCCAAATTTCAAGTCGATATCTCAATTTTTACTTAAGTTAGAGCGCGAACAAGGATTTAACGTCAAAAACAGAAAAATCCAAATATCTGAAAAACTTTGTATGAACGGGTATATATCTTTTGATTGATTTGAACAGAAGATATGCCGAATATTTTGAAAACAAAATTATTGAAATCGGTTGGGTATTTTCCGAGGAATTTGCGAGAAAACGTTAAAAAACGAGTGGCTATTGCTCAAAAACTAATGGACGGATCAAGCTGAAGTTTGGCGTGGAGTTAGTCTCAAGTTATACCAATTAACTGAAAAAATTTCAAACTTTTTGGAATGATTTTTCCCGTTCAATTATCAAATTTACGAAAAAATGACCACCGACTAGACAGTGTCACGCACAGACATGGTCCCCAAACTTCGTATTTTTACGTTTCAAACCATTCTGCATCATTTCCAAGCAAAATTAGAAAATGTGAAAATCGGACGATTGCAATGCTTCCATTCGGAAGCAAAAATTAATTTGAAAAAATCAGATAAGGATCTAAATTTTTTTCACAATTTTGTCTTCCGAACTGCAGTACTACAGAAAACGTTCAACGACGAGTTGACAGGTTCTCGGAAAATATCGATCTGTTTTGAGAATCTCGCAATTAGAGAGAGTTGTATTTTGTACCATATTTGTCAATAATAAATTTCTGTTTTGTTCCTATACATTCCAAAATAAAATTTCTTATCTCACGGATTTAGTGATTACAAGGGATTTCATATGAAATTACTTAAAATTTGTGAAATCATATAATTTCGCCGATTTCATTCAATTTCGATTTCACGTGATTTCATCCCAGAGTGACACACTGAATAACCCCGCCGAGGTCATTGCTTTCCTTCGAACTCCGCGACTGAGAGGAAGTGATGGTTATATTTTTGAAATATATAGATGTTTTCTTCTATCTAAATTCTGTAAATGTTTTCTTCTCGTATACCCTTCCGGGTCTTTACGATTTGTTCTCTGCCCACCCCCCAACCCCCTGTACCGCATTCGCTGAAAGACAAGGGAAAACCTCATTTGAGGGAAAAACCTGCCCAGGTACAGTCGTCTCTTGCGAGACTCCCGCTCGACAATGAAACCGTGAGATGTAGAGTATCACAAACTTTGGCCCCCCCCAGCCGGGAATCGAACCCGGGTCTCCCGCATGCCAATCCCCCACTCTAACCACGCAGCCACCGCCGTCAGTTCTAAATTCTGTATTTATTCAATAGGAATGTCTCTGATCCGTGATTCACTAAATTAGTAATTTTCTCATTCTCTGACGCAAAGAAAAACGATTTTCTTGAAACGAGAAATATTCACTTTATAGTGAAGTGTTCATCTTGAAGTCATAAACACTTCACAGTATTCTTATATTGCCCAAAGTCAATATTTGGCATGCAAAATTGGTTTTGTGATATCACGTCGATATTCCTCACAATGGAAGGTAAGATGGGGTAAAGTCTAAAATTTAATTAGCATCTAGTTAAAATTTCAACATCTCTGTTTAAAAACAACGATACCAAGAATTGAAATGGATCACAAACATTCCACTTTGTTCCTCTCTTCCCTATGTGAGCAATTGCACTAATTCTGTGTGGAATTAAGTATTACCTCGAAGATTTTCGAGATCGTTTTGTTTTTTCTCATCGAGAAGTACAGTTCAAAATGAGAAAAATGAGCGTTGACTGTGCTCTCTAACTTATAACTTGAAAAATTAATGGAAAAAAAAAAGAATTTTGACGTAATTAATGAGATAAAAAAAGTGTAGATCTAGAAAATTTCGACAGTCAAGTTCAAATCGATCTACACGTGATGTAAGCTCGCACTGATTTTTTAAGGTCCAGAGTATGGTCCTCGTAGTCCGTGGGAAACAAGTAATTTTCGGTTAATTAAACGATTGGAAACAACTAACCAACAAATTTTGACGCTGAAAGAAGTCCAATTATTCGTTTCTGAATTCATATTTATATTATACTAGCTGCGAGGCCCGGCTTCGTCCGGACAGAATAAGAAAAAATTAAATGCTAGGATTTGTGAGAATTCCAGTGATTAAGGATAATCGGGCAAGCCCGGAGGGTTAGAAAAAAAGCAGCCATTTTTCTCTTTTATTTTTTACGTATTCTTTAAATGATGGAAAAGGCGTGTGCAAAGTTTCAGACTGCTGCGGAACATGGTTAATTTATTATGAATTTTTGAAAAAGTGGTCATTTAACCCGTGATCTTATGGAAATTACAAAAAAACTGCAAAACCCAAGGAAAAAATGCAGCCAAAGTCATGAAACTTTAGACACATTTAGAACATGTGATCAATGATTTTTTGAGTGAATAAGATTGTCGCCTAGGAGCATTGTTTATTAATAATAGCGAAAAAAGTACTGAAAAATGAAATTTCTGCGCACGCAGCCCAAACGAGCAGCAACGTCTCAAGTACCGATCGGGTGGGGGTAGCGCGGTCAATTTAAACACCTCTTGAGAGAGAGAGAGCGATGAAGCGTTGTGATTGGAGCTCCCTCGAGCCAGTGGTACCAGCTCCTGGTGAAAAATAAAAAAAACTACCGACGATGTTGCCACTTTTTCGCATGGATTAATATTTTTTCATTTATTAAAAAAAAAAACAATCTGAAAACCATTTAATGCGTGGAACAGATACAAATAAATTTGATTAGCTCCAAAAATAATTTCTAACCGGGGATACTCCCTAACATTGCCTGAGTCGTGAATCCAAATGGGAAAAATTTTTTTGTTCAGCGATTGGTTTTCTGCAGGAAAACAATAGAAACCCCTCTGCCTCACCTCCTGCATTTCCTCCTCGCCCGATTATCCTTAAAAAAACACCTCAATGTTTTCAACTTTTCTAGAACTTCCGAGGAATCAAGAAAATTTGAGGGTTTTCCAAAGAAATTGAGAAAATTCTCGGTTGTTCTTGAAAAGTCGAAAATATTGAGGTGGTTTTTTTAAGTACAGGAATTCTCAAAAATCCCGCTACTCAATTTTCTCTTATTCTGCGCGGCGAAGCCGGGCCACACAGCTAGTCAATCAGAATTTGAAATTAAATTGCTCAATTGGAATAAAAAATATTTTTTTAGAAAACCCGATAATTCGTTCAAATTTTCTAGAAAATCCTAAAATTTTCTGGAATTTTCTGTAAAAACAAAAGATATTCTCGAACTTTCTATAAAGCCCGAGAATATCCTCAAACTTTGTAAAAATGTCAAAAATATTCTCGCAAACTCCAGAACAATCTAGAATTTTCCAGAAAATTCTAGAATTTTTCCGAATGCTCTAGAAGTTTCCTTGGTCCATACTAAACTACGCACTGAAGCGCAACTTATAGCCTAAAGCCGATTGGGGACCCTAAACTATGTCATAGTCTAAATACCATTGAAATGCATTCAGTCGTTTTTGCGTGAACCGCGGCAAAAGAATGGACAACAGATTCATTACATTTAAGAAGAAGATGAAAGAGGCCATTCATCATGTATCTTAAGCATACTACAACGTTATGTAGAAATGAGAATGTGATTGATGCTGCCATTAATAAAATGTCAATCGAAGAATTACCACGATTTACTGAACTCATGTTTAGAATTTTTACTTTATTCAAATGTTTTTACTTGCACATTGTGATTTTTTTCCCCAGATCGGAGGATGCGTGGTCGCCTGTCTAGCTGTATGGGCAATGATTGACAAGATCCCCTATATCAGCGATATAGTTGGAAATAATTTATTAACCGGTGCTGTCTACGTTCTTCTTGCCGGTGGTATAGTGGTAGCACTCGTCGCCTTCTTCGGCTGCATAGGCGCATCGAGGGAAGTGAAGTGCATGCTTCTCACGGTAAGCCCTCTGTCCATTTACCAATAAGAAAAACACCCCGCACATGGTAAAATTGTTGCAAAAACACCTGTCATATTCTAGCCGTAAATTCTCCAATAACAATTTTGTTTTTATTCAAAATACACACATCAACACACTTGAGTGAAATTGTTTATACAGTGGAATTCATGAGATATATATGTACTTGTCGTGTTATTTACAGAGAGGGAAGGAGGTGGAGAGAAAAAGCTTGAGGAAATTTTCTCGGGTGCATTGTGCACCCTCGGCGGGTTCATTTTGTAAACGCAAATAATATTAATGAGATTAATTGCTTGTGACAATGTCATGAGAGAAAACCGTATGATAAATATATTGTGAAACAATTATACAATTGTTTTATTTGTACAAGCTATACTACATGTTTTGGATTTTTTTATTGCAGAATAGCTACAGTTTTTTTGGTATTTAATCTCCGGTACTAATTCAATATTTAACTCTAGAGTGGGTTAAAGTTTTTTAGTCGAGTTACCGTTTCCTGGCTGTAGTGTTCATTTTGGGTTTAATATAATAACGAGTTTGATGACTTTACAAAAATAAATTATGTCACTAATTTTTTTATTTGGTCGCAGTATTTCATCATAGTACTCATACTATTTGTGACGATATTCATTGGAGGAGTCCTCGCCTATGTGTTTCGGGGAAAGTTACATGGAAAGGTCGAGATGGAAATGAAAAATTCGATGGCGTTGTATGATAGTAAACCGTACATGCATGAAGCTTGGGATACTACTCAGAGATCGGTAAGTGAATTATTCTAATTTTCATGCAGAGTATTTCGTAAAAATCTCTGAAACTATAAGGAACTTGCATGAATTTTCTTCAATTTTCTAATCTCAAGTTTGGGACCTGAATAATTCATTTTTCATTCAATAAACGTTTAAAATATTGCACATTAATTAAGAATTAGTCGTTAAATTTGAAGATTTCAAATACTTTGAAATCGCTAATGACACCACACAGACGGTCGAGCCTTGGACCAATCACAGAATGGCTCGAGCCGACCTAACCCAATCTTGAGGTGCGCCTCGGCCAATGGAGAACGACAACTCCCCACTCTCTTCTTTTTCAACCAATGAAGCGTTACCTGACCGTCTTCGTAAAGTTATGACCGAAAAATTGGCCTCGAAAATGACTAATTTTCAATTAATTATCATAAGATATCTAGGCAATATTTCTCCATAATTTTCGCCGTTTAGCTATCCATACATTACGAGGAATGTATGAGTAGGGGAATTAGAAAAAATTGAGCTTCATACAAGTTTCCTATTGTACTGTCTTTGTAGACATCTGCATGTCAGTATTCAGATAATTTTCTGAACAAAAAATGATCTGTAAGATGGATCGAGGAAACATTTATAGTCACTAAATTAGCGGATACAAAGAATAATGTCAAAAGATATTCCAAACATTATTCATAATCCATATAATTATCTGGAGTCAATGTCTTTTGATTATTCTTTTGATCGTGATTCACCATTGAGCTAATTTAAATTTCTAAATGATTTAGGAGATGAGTTTAAGACGAGGCTTCACCGAATCACATGGATTATTTAGCTAATATTTCTATAATTAGTGTGTTTTGCAAAAAAAATACAAGAGAAATATTTTATGATCCATGAAATTCTTTACAAAACAAATATCTTGAAGAATAATGAATCTCCTCCCTTTGAAGATATTCGCTAAATATTTTCCGACTAGTTTCTGAACTCATTCTTTCCCATTCTGTTTTCTGTTGTGAAAGAGTTAATAAATGTTTTCTATTAAATAATCAATAATCTCCTCTTAGATACTTTGATAAAAAGCATTTCGAGTGTTGGACATTTGATAAATTATAATGAAGTCGGGAGAGGATTTTTATTTAAAATTCATTGAATATTTCATTTTCTAGCTCCGCTGCTGTGGAACCAAGAGCTTCAGGGACTGGGGAGGTGTCGGTCTTCCTCTCCCACGCTCCTGCTGTCGGGAAGTGAGACCGGGAGAGGTATGTCATGAATTAATAAATCAATCCCTTAATCCAAGGCTTTTAGTTCTGTTAAAAATTCCCGTTTTAAGCGCTGTATCATTGCACACCCCCCCTGGTATTAAATCTACTAGATCTGTGCGCGCGCTTTCGCGCGCGCTCATCTTTTTGTTGTGGAAATGAAGAAATCGAATTTATTAAACTTCATATACTCATAGATGTTTTATAAATATTGATAATAACTTAAAGAGAATTAAGAGAATGAAGAGAATGAAGAGTGAAGCATCAATGAATAATTTTTAATCTTCGATTAATTCTTTTTTTTTTTACTTTTTAAAATCATGTGATTAAAATCTGTAATTATTGAAAAATCAGGGGAGGGTTATGAATAAATTTCCTAGAGAACTGAAAAAATTTCTTGAATTCTTCGGAAAATTTCAGTTTTCCAGATAACCGTAGATCACAGATTTTTCTCGAATTATTTGGGAAACCGAGGAATTTTCGTGAATTTTGTAGAATTTAGAATTTACGTATGAAAATCTGAAAAGCAAGAATTGATCATTTTAGCGTGTGATAAATATGAAAAAATTAAAATTTGGGAAGTGAAGAATAATTTGTGAGTGAAAAAAATTTAGAAATACTGCTTTTTTTTCTCACGATCAACAATTAGGCAATTTAGATATGTTTTGATATAAAGATCAATTTTACACATGAAAAAATGAAAAATATGACGCAGAAAAAATTGTTGGCATTTGAAGAATTTGAAAATACCGAGGTTTTTTTTCAGCGACTACTTCACGTGACTCATTGACCAATAAGAATTGACGATTAGCGGTCAGGCAGTTTCGAGATATTTCGATATAAAACAACTTCACGTTTCTTTCATCTTTAGTAAATAGGATGATGAGCTTGAACGTCGATAATGTCATGCGCTGATGCAGAGCACAGTCGATTCACTAGCTTTCATGATTATCACAGAATGATAAAAAAATCTTCGATAAATTAACCGAAAAATATATATTTTTTTTTAGTATTTCCACTGCAATGCAACGCCAGAAACTCCAAATCAATCAAATACTTATTTGAATGGGTGTCTAACCACTGTCGAGAAGAATCTGGAGATGCATACGAAGATCATCGGAGCTGCAGGAATCGCAGTTGCCATTTTGATGGTAAAATCGAAGCATTTAATATTTTTCAACAGAATTCAAAATTCAACAATATATCGATTGACAGGAAATATTTAATTTTTGATAATTAATTATTATGCAATGATCGATATTTGAAGAGTTTATGATTGAGAAATTATCTATTGAGGTTTTCAACTTCCCCGATAGCCAAGTTCAGTTATGATCATGACACAATNGGAATTTTCGTGAATTTTGTAGAATTTAGAATTTACGTATGAAAATCTGAAAAGCAAGAATTGATCATTTTAGCGTGTGATAAATATGAAAAAATTAAAATTTGGGAAGTGAAGAATAATTTGTGAGTGAAAAAAATTTAGAAATACTGTTTTTTTTTCTCACGATCAACAATTAGGCAATTTAGATATGTTTTGATATAAAGATCAATTTTACACATGAAAAAATGAAAAATATGACGCAGAAAAAATTGTTGGCATTTGAAGAATTTGAAAATACCGAGGTTTTTTTTCAGCGACTACTTCACGTGACTCATTGACCAATAAGAATTGACGATTAGCGGTCAGGCAGTTTCGAGATATTTCGATNAAAAAAATTTAGAAATACTGCTTTTTTTTCTCACGATCAACAATTAGGCAATTTAGATATGTTTTGATATAAAGATCAATTTTACACATGAAAAAATGAAAAATATGACGCAGAAAAAATTGTTGGCATTTGAAGAATTTGAAAATACCGAGGTTTTTTTTCAGCGACTACTTCACGTGACTCATTGACCAATAAGAATTGACGATTAGCGGTCAGGCAGTTTCGAGATATTTCGATATAAAACAACTTCACGTTTCTTTCATCTTTAGTAAATAGGATGATGAGCTTGAACGTCGATAATGTCATGCGCTGATGCAGAGCACAGTCGATTCACTAGCTTTCATGATTATCACAGAATGATAAAAAAATCTTCGATAAATTAACCGAAAAATATATATTTTTTTTTAGTATTTCCACTGCAATGCAACGCCAGAAACTCCAAATCAATCAAATACTTATTTGAATGGGTGTCTAACCACTGTCGAGAAGAATCTGGAGATGCATACGAAGATCATCGGAGCTGCAGGAATCGCAGTTGCCATTTTGATGGTAAAATCGAAGCATTTAATATTTTTCAACAGAATTCAAAATTCAACAATATATCGATTGACAGGAAATATTTAATTTTTGATAATTAATTATTATGCAATGATCGATATTTGAAGAGTTTATGATTGAGAAATTATCTATTGAGGTTTTCAACTTCCCCGATAGCCAAGTTCAGTTATGATCATGACACAATAGTGATGCTCACGTAGCAGTACAATAACGGTACGCGTGCTGTGATACGCAGTTCAGTGATAGTATTGTTACCGTGCTATCACCAGTTAACGGTCGGGATAATGAACGACCTACAATATCGACTCAACATACACGGTAGCATTAGTATCGCTGCATGCAGTGACCGCATTATTGAAACAGCACAGCTAAGAGCACGAAATACTGTACGCCGTACTCTACCTTGTTTTACTGTGAGATTGGCTGCAAAGTCGGCTATCAGAGTATCTCTCTGTATAATAAAAATCCAAATCGACTTCTGGTGATAAAAATTTGGTTCTGAAAATCAAGACTCTAAAATTAAGGTCAAAATAAGGGTCATGAGGGTCAAAATAAGAGCCACAAGGATCAGCATCAGGCTCATGAGGGTCAAAATGAGGGTCACGAGGGTCAAATTAAGGTCATGAGAGTCAAAATAAAGGCCACGAGGGTCAGAATAAAGGTCATGAGGGTCAAAATAACGGTTGCGAGGGTCAGATTAAGGGTCACAAGGGTCAAAATAAAGGTCGCGAGGGTCACATTAATTCACAAGGGTCACATTAAGGTTCGTGAGGGTCAGAATAAGGATCATGGGGGTCATATGGGGGTCGCCGAGCGGAGCGAGCAGGGGGCGTAGCCCCCTAGTTGAAATTAAAACATTGAAATAAAGCCATGCAAGTTCCTTATTCAGGGTTTCCGTCAGCCTTCGACGAATGCAATACAGGGGTTTGGGGGATGGGTAGGGAACAAATCGGAAAAACACAAAAAGTTATTCAAAAGAGAAAAATAAGTAAATAACTTTCTCCCTTCGGATCGGGAAGTGGAACGCCTCGTTCAATAGGAAGCCTATCCAAATAACCTGTACTGTTTCCAATGGGTCACTGTATAGTTTTGGAAATTTTTAATTCTCAAATCTGTCATTTAAATGAGCCAATTTCCCACAAGAATTTAACATTGATCAGAGGTACAAACGGGTCGAATGGGGGTTGTACGTTTAATGCTTTTTATGCTTCAATGCTTTAAGGATGTTCTGACCCCTTTCAGCCAATTTTCACGTTTTTTATAGATTTCTGATAAACTATCGATCGGATTGAAGTGAAAAAATATACCGGTTATACGGTTTATTATTATTTAATAATTCACGAAGTTTCATCACTGTGCAACCATTTTACTGCATTTTTCCCAAACTTTTGTAAATATTTCGAATAGTTTCGAAAAAACCCAGAAAAATAGTTGCACAGTAATGGAACTTTGTGAGTAATTGAATAATGATGAGACGCAAAAACGATATATTTTTTCGCGTCAATCCGATCGATAGTTTGCCTGAAATCTACAAAAAACGTGAAAATTAACTCAAAGGGGCCAAAACATCTTTAATATGGGTGAGCGCCGCCTTCGGCCATTCTGGCGTTTTGAGAAAATGGCCCATCAAGATTGTAAAAATCCATTAAGATACTTCCCAAGTCTCTTGTATATAATGAAAAATTTACAATGTGTTAGGAGACTCAAAATTCGGGTCATATGTTGTTTAACACATTCAAAAACGATTTTCAAAATTTCGATCATTTCGTCTGAGCCATGTTCGAGATATGCATCGTCAAAAATTGAAAAAACACAAAAACTCAATATGTTTGACAATGCATATCTTAAAAATTATGTGAATGAAATAATTGAAATTTTGGACATAGTTTTACCATTTTTGAATGCCTGAAGAAGTACCTTAACGATGCGCACCATTCAAATTACTTTATGCTTAAATTACCAATGTAAATTGTTGGAACTTTCCGGATTTTTGTTTTCTTCTATGGAATCGATTTCAGATAAAATCCTGAATCGACAAATTACTTTTGATTGGGGGAAAAAAAAATTTTTAGGATAGAAAATATTGATTGCTTTTAAATTATTAATAAAGGTCGTATTCTTAAACATTTGCAATTTCAAATTTGTGAAAATGAATTATCCCCAAAAAGTTGATTTTTTCCTTTTAAAATCTGTAAGCTGTATAGTACATTCACGTATTAGTTGGGAAATTTCATTCTTAATTAATGTCAGACCTTGCCTTTTGAAATTCAATCAGTTACAAATAAAAAATCTGACATTTTCTTTCAAAATGGCTTGTTTATCATTTTTCTACTTAATCAATCCAATAAGAACGAATGATTAATTTTCAATTTCTTTACAGTTATTCGGCATGATATTCTCCTGCGCACTTTTCCGGAAGATCGAATGACGGAGAGAGTTCTACGTACTTTAAGGAACGTGCGAGAATTTCCTTGAAGCGTTAATACATCAAAATGTCACGTGAGAAAAAAATATGAAACCGTTTTGCACTATTTAACGTCATTGAAATCCCCATTATAATCATCCATAACGTATAATTGAGGAATTATAACTGATTGCATATGTTAATAAGAATCTCTCTAGTGTGTACCATCAAATTATTTTATGTATTCAATATTACGATAAGTTGCCTACTCAAGATGTAGAAAAAATGATATTATTTTTTGTATGAGGAAATACTACATTTTTCGATCATAATCACTAGGTTTTTTTCATGGTAACTGTGTGCATTGAAATATACGTTATTAAATTTTTTAAGTGTCTCAGTGCAAGTAATTAAATCCGATTGAATTTCTTCGTTGTGGATGGGAACGCAATTTTCGCTGGAGTTTTAAACAACTGAAATGAGAGTCTTTGTTGCAAGAAAAACCTTTTTTCTAGGGTAAAAACGTTTTGCGGCGCTCTATAGAAAGCCCTACGGGTGATTGGCCAGTGCCTGTATTTTCCCTCCAGGGAGTTTTCCTCAGTGTCCAAGTGTGGTAACCGTGTGTGTGCCAGTGCTGCGCCTGTCTGGGGCTGTGGTCCAAAGTCGATATTGCAGTCCGGGGGATGCTTGAGAAACAAAAGATATAAAATATTATGCGCACCTCACCCAGATGAATATTTACCTTTCCCAATATCGGAAAAACTTTGCACACTGTAATTTTAGTAATTGTTAATTTTAGGAATCATAAAACTTCATTATTTTTCATTTCGAGAATGGGAGGTAGACAATATTTAGTGAGATTTCTATTCGTTCATGTTTTTAGATTTTATCTGGAATGTTATTTCAATTTTTTTTAAATACTGCATGAGTTACAAATTACAGGTGCGTTAATTGGAAAGAAGGTACAAATCATTTTGATCGTTTTAATTTTAGAATCTGTGTTCTTTCAAAAGTTAGGATTTTAGTAAAGGTTTTGCCCTTTTCTTTTTTTACATTAGTAACAGAATCATCCCTGATTTTTCATTGTATACTGCTTAATAATAAAAAAAATTCTCTCTCCTACTCCATTCTCAACAAATTTTTTCAAGACCTCTCAAAACTTTTATAATATTTCTTCTAAATTATTCGAGAATAATCATCAGAACAACATTGTATTTGTTTTGCAGAAGGTCCCTTTTCTTACATATAGTAAATCTGTTGTCTTTTTTGGTTCACGATGCAAGTAAAAATGACTGAATGAATTTCAGTGAGATTTTCACTGTTAATTAGCTTAGGGTCCACATTTTACCATGGCCTGTAAATTATTACGCTAAATTCAAATATAAATGTATATAATATAATATAAATGTATATAATATAATATAAATGTATATAAATTGAACTTCCTGAAAATTTTCAGAATGCTCTTCAAAAAATATTGAAACAAAAAAAATTGCACTGTATTATATACTCCAGTATGCAATGTAGGAACGTTCAGAACTATCGACAAAATTCTAGATCCTTCCGGAAAAATCGCATCTTTTCTGCAAAGGAATATATAAGGTTTTCCAGAAATTTGAAAGAAAAAATAAAACGAATCGATCAGTAAGAAATTATATGGTTGAATGGAAATTTTAAAAAAGAGAAAAAATTCCCTTTAGTACGGGAAAAATTTTAATAAGAGAAAAATCCCGGGCATCGCCGTGCGGGGGACCTGCTAATTATGAATAAAAATAACGCATTGCAAAAATAAAAGAAATCTTTTTTATTTACCAATTTACGTTCGAGTTTAGTTATTGTTCGTTAAGTCTCCGTTACTCACTTCTTTTCAGAACAAGTTTGTCAACGGAGTGAACAAACAGTAGCAGGGGACTATCTTCAATTTTTTATCCTTAACTCCAAAAAAACACGAACACTTTTCTCCTGTCTTCTTTTTTCTCATTTGAATTCCTCAAGATGTCTTAAAACTTTCATAATATTCTGTCATAAATATTAATGAATAATTCAGAAGAAAATTTATATTTCTATCATTCTGCAGAATTTCCTGTCCGCCCAAATGATTCAGTACTTAACATAATGAGACGAAAACTCCCAATTTACATAGCCCGTCTCAACTCATCTCACTGAATCGAAATGCGGGTATGAAACCAAAGTCCATTTGCTGATCGACTCCCCCATCCCTTGCACTTGACCAGATTTCCGTGAGATGTTGCACCCAACCCCGAGAAGTTGGATTCCCATCGAACACTCCAAAGTATTGATTTCCCGACAGTTGAAATTCTATGATACCTCCCTCCAACTTTCTCAGTGTCTCACATCTGCGACTCTCACCCATTTTCATCATCAAGCCCATGAATTTGTATGAACATTGAACGCCAATTCAATTCCTGCGTTTTAAGCGCCAATGAACTACGAATATTGGAATACCTTGGACAAATATTGGCCCATAATTTCCTAATGTTTTCCTGATAGCATCGATTAACCTGATAAAACCCATTCCCCCTTGTGTTCCCCACCAATTGAATGATTACTATCGGATTAAAAAGTATAGGCCCCTGAACCGAAACTCCTCAAATTGTTCTTGTGTCAAATAATAGCAAAACGTATTCAATTTATCCTTCCTATGATTATTTGATATTTCTACAATATAATTTTGAGGAAATAATGAAGTAACACCGATGTTCAGATACGTTGTATGATCGGGAAATTCCGCACCAGGGGCCGAAACTATTCGAAAATTACTCTTGAAAGTTCAAGTGAAAAAGCTTGAAATTTTTAACAACGACAAAGTATGTTGTGATAACTGGACGAGAGTCCGGCTATCCACGTTTTATGGATGCTACTGGCGACGACTTACGACTTGCGTCGGGCAGCTTCCATTGTAAATTTTGTTTTGGATCCTTACCTTTAAAACCTAAAGTATCCCACCATCGTAGCTATGTTTCTAAGTTCTTCTTCAAGTTTACAATAATTGATTGCAGGAAAATTGAGATGCACCGAAATGACTAAACAAATTGTCCCCTTTTTAAATTATATTTTTTCAATTCCCTTGTACAATTAGCTGTTTTACACGAGCAATGATTAGTATAATATTAGATGAATTTCACAGTGATCAAATCGCGAATATAGTTATAGATTAATGGCTAAATCGCTCCAGCATGAGAATCACTGTTACGTTGAAATTTGTTTTGATTTAATTTATTTCGGAGTTTTAGGAATGAAGATAGACGATTTCAATTTTTGATAATGATAAGATTCGAATATTATTAAATGGGCTCACTCGAACAATTGTTGTCTATTTATTTACCAATTTCTCCGCTGAGTAAGTGTCTCTGTTCAACTTGTAATCCAAATCGTGTCCTATTTTCAAGCCAGTTGTGCCACAGAGGTTGAGAATATCTCTAATGTTTAAAACCTCAACCTTTGAATTTCACAAATCCCACACAATTATATTGAATCACAGTTAATTAGCGTTTTAATATGATCTTGAGTTATGATTGTTCAGATAGCTAATTTTGAAACAGGAATGTTACTGAGTCCTCGCTCACTATGTTTTACTAATTATCCATGAACTATGAAGATGGGCATAGTTGTCCATGGATCACAACACTCACTAGGCTATGGTTCCGCAAATTATTTAGCGCAGTTTACCGGTCCAAAACCTTCGTATTATAGATTTTGAGAGATCTTGAAAGGGATGGATTTAGACGTCGGCTAGATTTTATTGGAGTTATGGCAAGAGTGAAGGAATCAGGAGGGGAAATACTCGTTATGACTCCACGGCCGTCACTGCCTTTGGAGATTTTAGTTGCGACGTACGAGGCACGATTCTCATGCTGGAGGTGCTGATCTTGCACTTCTTGGACACACGTGCAAGTCCATGTGTTTCAAGGATTTGTATTTATTGGATCAAAATTCAGCATTTCAGCTCCTTCCATCCGGTATACGACGCACAAAATTCATTCAGAATGAAGAATGATTCTGAAGGAATTCTTTACATAACAATGTATATTTATGTATTGACGAATCAGTTAATTTCTTGAATATTCAAGTAATTCTCGATTTTCAGGTCCACACGGCACTGAAAAACCTTTAAAATTTTGAAAATTCAGGCAACCACTTTTCTGAATTTTCAATCTATTGAAAATTGAATTTTATGTGATGTTCAATTTTCACGATGAGTTTGAAAATTCAGGCTTTCATTGAAAAATCAATAATTGTTTAACATGAAAAATCCAATTTTCTTAAATTTTCAAGATGAATGAGAAATTTAGTGAACGCTTTCATTTGAAATTTAATTCAACCTTACTACATCGAAAATTCAGATGATGCTGTGACTGAAATTTCAAGAAAATTTTCACAGTGTATACTTTACAGCCCGACAATAGAAGAGAAATAAAATGAAACTGCGTTTCATGTGTACTTCGCAGTTTCGTATTGTCCCGCACTCCTCTACGTAACTCAAATATGAATAAAACAGTAATAGAAAAAATGCTACACGAAGAAGTGTACACTGTTGAAAATTTCTACAAAATTGAAATAGACTTGTACATTATAAGGGAAATTATCCCAAAGATATGAGTGAAAATTACAAACCAAAAAGAATAATCTGGCGACGGAATGGAAATGTAATCCCGAGTCGAGGAATTGGGTCGGTTTTTGGCCTGATTCATCCAGTGATGGTCGGTTAAAGACGTGAAAATTGCATACCGCGGCCCAAAACCGACAATCTCCGTCGGTTTTTGATCTAACATAGTTTTACAACCACTTTGGTCCACCCAGTAAAAATCCGTGGACAAATACCAATAAAAATGCAATTACTTCCATGTTCTTTATGTGCAATGTTAGAAAAAAATGAAATTTCGTGCGATTTAGGGGGAAAAAAATTATGAAATTTGAGGTTTCACTGAAAATTCAGTAAAATTCCAGAATTTTAAGCAGCATAAAGACGAGAATTCCTTCATTTATTTGAATTTCCAATCTAGTACGTATATTCAGTGCCAAATTCCATTGAATTTTCAATGAAATCTGAAATTTCATGATTTTTCCTCATAAATCGAATTCAGTGTCAGCCTTGAAAATTCAAGAATATATTTATCGCAATTTTCTGGTTTTCTATTCATTTTCAGGGAAAAAAGGAACTGAAATTTATAGTTCTCTTTGATTTTTCCACGAAATTCTGAATTTTCAATGACGAAATTCCTTGAAATTTCAGTGATAATTCAATTCGATAAAAATTTCCAAAAAGTATGCTGGAAAATTCAGACAAAAATTTTTAACCGTGCTTCGAAAAATTTTCAATACTTAAACTTAGAAAGATCTTTTCATCCCGGCGTGCGCAAAGTTAACATAA